AGAAGTACATGAGGCTTGTACTTGGTCAACTCCTGGATCTCAGATGTGTCTTCTGAGTGCTAAAGTGGATAGGAGAAGTCAGAAGGTGATCCGTTACATTAACAATAACTAATAATGTATATAGTATTTTCTGAACTATACTTTGCCTCTGCAAAAAATGCTCCTTGCAGATTAAAAGAAACCTACAGTTTTGTCTTTTCGGTCATAAGGAAGTCATTCTGTAAGGAAGTCTTTGTGGTGTAGTCATGTCATTTTCAGACGGGAGTGTTCTATGTAGACGTCACCCACATGTGACCATAGATGAAATGGCATATAACTAATATATGTGGCTTCAGAATACAAGTCGCAGGACTAACCAAACTATTGAAAAAGCATAAGTAACTACATATTGAGTGTACATATTCCTATGAGTACCATGAAAAACATTTTAGATGAATGACTGAAGCTTCTTACACAAATTAGCCATTCAACAGTGGAACTGCACTAGAACACAGGGCAACTTTTAGTCTATGTTTGACTTTTTAGCATGGGACACGTGGGTTTCTTGTTTATTTAATTTATACCACACTCTCCCTTTACTACATCAATTCCCTTGTTTGCACCTTCGTATGCCGCGCCTTCTCAACGTTAGCAAAAACTGTTCGTTTCTAACCCTGTCTCGTCCATCCTGACCCCAGCCAGCTCTTTCGTCTGTCCTTTAGTAAGTGGGAATTTCTCAAAACCATCCACGTACGTATCCTGAAATGACATTTAAGTTACTGTGTAATTGACACTCGTCCTCACCTTGTCTAGGGGAGCATTGCCCACCTCCTTCATGCTCTGGACTCTCTGGTTCAGGACCCCAGACTGTTCGATCAGTCCCTCTGCAGCATTGTCGTGCTCCTTCAGCCTCTCGAGGAGAGTTCGAGCATCACCTAACACTTTCTCCAAAGTGCAGGCCATTTACTGGGCACTGCACACTAAAGACGTACCAACTACCTGGGTTGTAAACAAAAAAGGCTACAATACAGTACAAAACTTAAATGCTTCAAATGCTTCACTGTTGCATATGAATAAGGCTGTGTTCAATAAGAAACATTTCTGAAGAACAAAACTGTGATTAAAAACTACTACATTGACATTAAAATGATAAGTAAACTATTGACGACTTGTTTCCGTGCATTTCAAGACCAAGGGTGGCGTCATTTCCTTTTTTCTCTTTTCCGTATGTAGCTGGTGACTGCCACCTACTGCTGTAGTGGGAAATTGCGTGTACCTAATATTAAAATGATTTGGTGTGCATCCTAACCAGGACCGTATTCGAGTGCAGTTTATACAAAATTCAAAAAAGTGAAGTGAAAGTCAGTTATTGTCACTGATGCGCGGCACACCACTGCACAGATTGAAATGTGTCCTCTGTCTTTAAACACCATCACAAAAATGAGCAGAGGGCAGCTCAAGTGGAAGTGGTTGGTGGATTCGAACAACTTTCGGGGCACAGAGGCACATATTATACTGTACTATATATCTATATATATCTATATATC